GATTATTTCAGTCTTTTTCCTTTGTATAAAGTTGACCGCGTCATCGGCATACATTTGCACATTCAACTCAGGACATACGTTAGGCAAGTCATTAATGTACAGAGAAAAGAGTAACGGTCCAAGAATGGAACCTTGTGGAACCCCAACAGGGTTGACAAGGTAGGACGATTTGGCAGCGTTGACCAAAACACACTGTTTTCTGTTCGATAAGTAAGACTCGAGCCAATGTATTGAAACGGCCGAAAAATTGAAATGAGTCAGCTTTGTAAGGAGCACTTGGTGGTCAACAGTGTCAAAAGCCTTCCTGAGATCAAGGAAGACAGCACCTACATATGGGCTCGTGTCCAACATACATTTAACCTTTTCCACAAAGACACAGTTAGCTGTCTCAGTGGAGTGGTGAGCACGAAAACCAAACTGCATTGGGTGGAGTGGAGCGAAACCTTTATCTAAATGTTTGGTGATTAATTGGAAATCATTGCCTTATCCCCAGATAAAAAAATCGGTGTCACCGTGGCCACCTTCCAGGACGATGGAACTTCCCTCGTGCTGATAGATGGATTCACTAGCATAGTAATTGGTTTTATTATAAAGTTGGTGTCGAAATCATCTGCATCCCTAGCCTTAGAACCTCTTAACCCTAAGATTATATTTTTTACCTCAGCCTCTGTGATTTCCTCCAGGTCAAAAACTGGATGTGTATCCACAGTCGGGCTAGGTGAGACCTCAGATGGCGGGAAGAGCTTTGTAATGTCCAAAGCACTATTTAAGAAATACTCATTGAGCGAGCTGGCCAACACTGCAGGGTCTTTTATCAGGGCATCATTGATTTTTAATTCTAGAACATTATTTTCCTGTTTGGTATGTTTACCTAATAGTTTATTTAGGATTTGCCAAACTTTTTTACCGTTACCTTTCGCACCTTCAATTATATTGATGAATAAGTTTGCTTTGGCCTGTCTTATTGTTTGTGTTACCTTGTTACGAGCATGAGTGAATTTCTGTCTATCAGTGGATAGTCCGGATTTCAAGCTCTGCTTTAATAGTTGTTCTCTAGATTTCATTAGATTCCTGCATTGTAGATTCAGCCAGGGAAGATGACGTTCCTTCCTGTCCCTAAGGCACCCTCTCCTTGAGAAGGAAGACATTGCATCGTTAATTTTAGATATAAACAGATTACTGTTTTCACCAATATCTTCAGAGGACGGAGTGTCCCCCCAATCAATCATTTTCACTGCATCCATAAAACGTTGTTGCAGGTTTTTGGGGATGAAGCGAGAACCGAAGGCAGGGGTTTTAGCTGTGGCCATGAACCTTTTTTTTGTGAGTTTCCTGGTAAAAAGAATAAGATTATGGTCAGAAAGACCAGTCAGGAAGTTGTAGGTTTTAACTATTCTGTCAGCTTTGTTTGTAAATAATACATCTATAATAGTCTTGGAGGTTTTGGTTATTCTAGTCGGTTGATCCATTAGTTGTATTAAAGGTGGGGTAGGTAAGTTTGAGAAACCGGCTCGAGATACACTTTTTGTTATATTCCATGGAATGCTCTTAACATCCCGATAGCAATAAATATCTTAAGTGCTTTGACAAAAAATCCATAAAAAAATGTCATCTGTGGAAGCCGTAGTACTGTAAAAAGTACGACCAATCATTTTAGCCGGCCCGGCTAAAATAACTGGATGGCCTACCTGCCTGTCAGCCTTCCATCTGTGCAGAAACTTATCTCGTGCCCTCATTGGTCATGTGCGCGTTCGTGTGTGTTGGAGGCGGGGCTCTATAAGGAAGTGGCAGATTTGTTCCGGCTGTGTATTTTTTAATTCTAGCGCACTCGAGCTGGTTTCTCAAACTTACCTACCCCACCTTTAAGTTGTGATTATCCGTGATCCGTTTTAAGCTCTTTCTATTTTGTTTGTCATTCCAGTTGATGTTAAAGTCTCCTAGAATAATTAGCTCTTTGTTGGAGTCACAGGAATTCAGCGTGAGTTTTACCTGATCATAGAAATCCACCTTAGCGGCGGCGGGTGGTCGATATAGGCAAATCATGGTGAGGGACATTTCCTCAGATAGTTTGATTTCCACACCAACACAATCAAATTCAATATTAGGGAGTGCAATCTCCCTACAAGTTAAGGTATTCCTCACATAAAGCAACACACCCCCTCCTTTTCCCTTCAGTCTGTCCTTCCTAAACACATTATATCCTGACATAGATACAAGAGTGGATGGTGACGACTGTTTTAGCCAAGATTCCGATATTCCCAAACAATCAATATTGGACTCAAGGAGGAGATGTTCTAGCTGTTCATGTTTATTGCAGATGCTGCGGAAATGTAAATGTCCACTGAATAGTCCCTTCGGCTTGCACCGAGGATCCCACACTATTTTGGCTTGATTCACTGTTTGAAACTTTTTTGTGCAACGGTGTTTTTAAAATACTGGATTTCTAGGTTTTACCTCGGTGCCGTTGTAGACAGTAGAACAGTCAAAGCTAGCTGATGGTTTATGGATCTCTGCCGCTAGGCTGCTAGCCATCGGCGCGGACCCGCAGTCCTTCGATGGTGTGGATGTTGGTCCAGCTGCTAGGCCAGCAGCCACCGGCGCGAGCCCACAGAGATCCTCCGGCACTTCTTTTGAATAGTTGTTCACAAGCTCTAAGGCGGAGTTAGACATCACTACTCTCCCATGAAACCATCCTTTGACTTCTGCCCCCCTCAAGACCTCTGCATTCATAAATGTAAATAATTAGAAATGGTAACCAGTGGTTCTATCACTGCATGAGTGTGTCTCTAAAGGTAGTTCCTGTCGTTCAATTTAACATAATTCCCCTGTTATAAAAACACAAACAAATCAGAGGTCGAGTGAAGAAGCTGAGCTCTATAGAAGATCACGGTGTCGTAAATGAGGGCTCGTGGCAGCAAGCCTCCACCGGATCGATGGCATTTCACCCCCAGTGAGCTTTGTAGATATGACTGGCCTGTCTGAAAGGGCCGGGTCCCAACAGTACAGGAGGGGACTGACAGGCAGGGCACACTTATACACACACACACACACACACACACACATGCACTTTTTCTTGCAGACATATGTTAGCCAAATGCACACACACTCACTGAGGCATACTTCTGTTTAAGTTTATTCAAACGGATACAATTGCTTTCTCTGATACTGTTGTTCTTTTATTTTCCTTTCTCTCTCACACACACACACACACACACACACACACACACACACACACACACACACACACACACACACACACACACACACACACACACACACACCCCCACACTTTCAGGGGGAGGTGAGTGGCGTGGCGTGGAGATAAGGCTGCTATCAGACCTTCATCAGGAATGGATGCACTCTCATCCGTCAGGGCGGCTTTTTCCTATATGTGCTCCATCAACGCTCTTTCCTCCGTCCTCTTCCTGTCTTTGTCCATTATGTTTGACCCTTTACAGGATGAACGAATTTATAGGGAGGGACAATGTATACTTTTCCTGATGATTGAAATACATGGTCTTCTTTCTGTGTAATGGCAGTGTGCTATAGTTTTAGTTCCTCGGTTTCCATATTTTTCTATTCATTTTAAAATAATGTATCAAATATTCAAAAAGTCCTTCATAAACCAAGAGGAAACAAGTATATTTACATATTTGTATGGCGTTCATTCAGATTTTCCATGCATTTTGAGTGTTTGGGCAGGATTTAAGCAATTACTGTTTGAAAAAAGTGAACGATCCTGAAGCTTCTTGCATATTGAGGCATACATGTCACATAGATATAGAACATTACTCCTTTCATCCAGAGTCAATTAAAAAGTAAAACAGGGACGAATTGAAACACCTCACTCAATAGCAATCTTGAACTATTGAAAAGGAAACCTTATTTTCAAAACATGTTATTTGTACTCTTGATGTCGACGCACTGCACTTATATCACTTTTATTTCGATGAGAGATGTTGGGGTTCGCTGCAAACCGATGCCAATTTCCCATTCAAAGTTTCAAAAAGGACAAGCAGTATTTTAACAATCCAATCATTTGTTTTTCTAGCGAATATCTGGGAAATGAAATGAAAGGCTGTAATTTGCACACAGAGGACGTGGAGTGGCAATTTAAAGCCTTTCTTGATGAGATGAGATTTCAATTTGCTTTTTAAGATTAGGAGTGACTGTGCAGTCCTGTGGAATTGGGAAGGTCATTCCACCATCAGAGAGCCTGCAGGGGAAAGACAGATGAACATCTTCACCGTTATTTATTGCAGCAGTAAATAAAGGAGGACTAAAAATAAGTAGTATACAAAGCTCCAGAGCTGTACAGAAAGTAAAGAGTAAACACTGAATCAGAAATGTTGGAATTGAATCTTCAAAACACTGCAATCAACTGAGAGAAGATTTAGATTAAGTTTGATTTTCTTTACTTTCTCTGACATTGACATTAAAACCATTACATGACTGACATGAGCGACAAACAACATTTACAGCAATCCCTTATCATTTATTGGCTAATTAAAGGGGTCATTTCATTGCTGTCATATGGCTCTGCAGGTAATAAAATACCTTGCCTCTTTTTATCGTGCCAAGTAGAGGTCCTCACAAAAAGTATTTGTCAAACTTTTTTAAGTATACTCAGCCTTTACAAAGTCATTTCTCTGCACACAGCATACACTTACACTTAAGCACACTAAATCACTTTCACACTTTGATGATAGCAGCTCCTGCGCCTCGCCGTCTTTACCTGTGTCTTATCATACATTAGACCTGATGGAACGGTGTGTTAAGCTTTGATGGAGCTCAGGAGGAAGTATTAGGTTTGAAATAATGTGCTGTAGCAACAGAAGCGTAGCGCTGCCAGTATTGTACTTTAAGAACCCACCGAGCCTGCTGTAGTAGATGATTAATACACTCTTTGATGTCTTACATCCAAAACTGCTTGAAGAAATAATCCGTTCACAATGGCTCTCATGTGTGTCCCTCTGTGTGTGTATGTGTGTCCAACCCAGTGGAGTTCACCAAACTGGACCTAGCGTCTTTGCAGTCTGTCCGTCAATTTGTCCAGAGCTTCAAGGAGCGGGACCTGCCGCTAAACATCCTGCTCAATAATGGTGAGTGATGGAGATGTCATTTTCTTTTCCGTGTCGGCTGCATGCTGCATATGCAGTAGTTCATCTAGTATTCATGAGGAAAGTAAAAAATCCTCTCACAGCGGTGGAATTAAGATGTTTTTTTGCCAGTATTTTGCGGGTTGGCTCATCAATCAGAGCAACCCTTTTATGTCTGATATTTGCCCACAGCCCTCTCATATGAGCTCAATGTCATTGATAACACCTACCATAACTTCCTCTGTGTTAGCAACTGCACGTCATTTATTAGAGACTACTACTGTGCTCTAAAAGCTTGTGTGTGTGTGTGTGTGTGTGTGTTTGTGTGTGTAGCGGGGGTCATGCTGCTTCCCGAAGGCCGTACTGAGGATGGATTTGAGCAGCACTTTGGCGTGAACTACCTAGGCCACTTCCTGTTGACCTGGCTGCTCCTGGATACACTGAAGGATTCTGGGAAATGTGGTTACTTCTCACGAGTGGTCAATGTCTCCTCCTCTGCCCACCGCATTGGCGAGATTAGACTAAATGATTTAAATAGCTGGTAAGCTCACAAACACACTTGCCCACATTTTAGCAATCACAACTTTATTAAATGATATAATACAAAGCTTGGCATTCACAAAAAGGTGATTTTTAAAGAACATTTAAACAATGTGTAAAAAGAAATTCCAGTTTATTTAAACTGAAATCATATTTTCGTACTTTTTGATAAGACCTGGAAGCTTGGCAACATCTGTCAGATGATCACACAAGATGTGCTATACCGGAATTAACCCATACTGCACTTATAAAAAGCCTTGTAAAAAACCTCCAGTCTTGTCTCAGATGTGTTTTAGTGGGACAAACAGGGCATATTATATCAATATAATATTTAAAGAATAATTAACAGATGCTACAATTATTTCAATGACACCAAAGGTTTTTAAAATGACATCCTTCTTGATTATCTGAGCTGTTAATACCCTAACAGGCACAACTACACAAACAGCAGGGGAACTAAACTGAAGTGTGGTGATAATTTCCACTCCTGTCGATGGCACATTTGAACACTTTTGCACCTGCAACAGCTGTTGCTGTTACCTTTTATTGCGAGACGTGCTGAAATTTGGATTAAAACGTGTAGATCTTCTGACACCGCTGCACTGCAGTCCAAATTTCTGTTTTCAGATTCTTTGCAACAATGACCTTGTGCGTTCCTACATTTAGCTTTTGAGCCTGAGGACTCAGAGTTCTTTATACGTTTCCACTGAGAACCACAGTTTACTAGCATTGTATACTTGTTATATTAAAACTGAGGCACTTTTAATGGTACAGTCTGATCGTGTTTTTTGTTTCCTATCTTTTAGCCAGAGTTATTCAGCCCATGCTGCTTATTGTCACAGTAAGCTGGCCCAGCTGTGGTTTAGTTCCCACCTCCACCAGGAGCTGCAGTGCGGAGGTTTCCCACTGAGTTCCTGTGCTGTGGATCCTGGCATGGTGGACACTGCTCTCTATCGCCACCTGTGGACACCCCTCTGCCTGGCACAGAGCACTATTGCTCGCCTGCTTTTCAGGGTAAAACACTGTCCGTATACTCATCTGCTATTCACACATGGGATTTATGTCATTCTACATTTATCAATATCTTTTTTATCCCAGTAAGTTTACTCTCCCACAGTACACTGGGTATTTTTCTACTTCACCTCTGAGTGATGTCTCTCCCAACCCCAAATACTTTGTCTCTAACTCTTGACTAAGATTCAGTTACTTACTGTAAATGGTTGCTTTAAAATGTATTATGTAAGTGTGTTCAGTCACAATCTGAGAAACATTTGCAAGTTATTTCTTCTGCTGGTGGTAAACGGCACTTCAATATCTTTGCAGTTTTAAAACAAAAATCAAGAGCTTGTAGCCAGAAGCGTTTAAGTTGTCCTTTTTAAAACTGACTGCTCATTCCTCCCTTTATCTTTCAAGTCAAATAACTTAGATCTCTTTACCAAAAGTGTGAAGTGTGAAACTGCGTCACAGTTTAAGTTTGTTCAAGGTGTACCACAGTGACCCAAAACAACAAACTCGGTGCAGACGTTCTTCAGGATGAAACACAGACGCTCATGCATGCGCACATGCATACACACACAGCCTTTCAAAATCACTGAACATGGAAGTGCTAATAAAAACCAAGCCAGGCTGTTCACTGTGTTATATTTTAAAACATTTCTTGCATAGCTTAAAGCGCTGGCCGCAGGATGCCGTTAATGTCCCTGGGATTTAATGAAAGGAGACGCGTGTGCGTGGTCGAGCCAAAAATGGCAATTGTCACAGGCATTTGCCTCCGAGAACAACCTCTGGGTTGGTTCTGCCCCACATACGCAAACACATTAATCAAACAAACTCATGCATGTAATCATTACTCCGCACACAAACACATAAACACACAAACTGTGATTTGCTCCTGTTACGACACCTTTTAATCCAGAGCCGTTACATTTAGGTACATGCAGAGCCAAAGGCTAGAAGATAGATAGGAAGAGGAATACAAAGACAGAAAATAACCCGCAAAGCTCTCATGTATTGTGATGCTCTTAGAAAGTCGATGAAACCAGCAGCACCTATTGGCAGCGAGTCAGTCATTATTCGGAGGAAGAAGTCATTCTAATCAGTAAAGATAGCTAGGAAAATGCAGTATCCTTGGCAAGTAAAGCAGTAAAGTCAGATACAATAGATGACCAAGTACACTGAAACCTTATTCCTTTTTTTTAATAAAGACCAGGAACAGACAATAGACAGTCACAGGGTGGTTGAGGCAGAGAGGGGTGTCAAGGTGGGGACCCCTCTGTCACCATTAGAGCCTTAATGTCTGTGAAATCGATATTACATCCTCAAGAGTTTCAGCTACTTGTTCCATTGATATCAAATCCAAATCATTTGAACAAGTTAGAGACACAGCTGCCCGCCAACATTTTGATTAACGGTTGACAGGCTCTACCTCCTGAGCCAGAGCTTAACCGGCCTCAGAAGTTGGCATCTTGTCAGATATACTTTTTGATCAGTTCATTAAATTCAATTATATTGCCATCAGAAACCAATTGACACCATTTATTTTTCTGCTGCTAAACCCTATTAAAAATCAATTTCAGCTATGAATAGAGGGTTCTCCCATTCGACATGAAGGCAGGGATGAGTTAGTAATAGACAGTTGCTATGTCCGCTTAAAGCCTTTAAAACATGGATGCTGAATTGATGCTGCTGTTGACACTATAGTATAAATCAATGTATCTTCATGAATTAATTAGGAAACCACGCTCAATACTTATTTCAAACACTTTAAACTTGAAACATTTACATAAAATGATAAGAACAATTACACATAAACTGGTCTATGAAGACATGTATAAAAAGTAATAGCCCTGTAAGCGAAACCAGACGTATGTTTTAATCAAGAAAAAAACTCCATCTACACAATAACTAGGACAGTGAGTTTTGCAACAATCAGACATAATCAGCAATGAAATGAGTGGCTTGTTGCTATGGAAATACATGTTTTTTTTACACAAAGAAACGTTCCTTTTCCACGCTTAAAGCTCTCTAAGTGAACAGAGAGCAACATGAATAATGAAGAACAAGTTGTGTTTGCCTGTATCGTTAATTGTGCTGAAACATAAAGCCTAGCAAGCAAAATAATAATTCATTTAAAAGAACATTTAATATGTATGTTTTTGAAATACTGTGGAGTACTACAGCACACAGAGACAAACACACAGAGACAAACACACACACACACACACACACACACACACACACACACACACACACACATTGGTTTACACACAAAGTATTCTTGTTTACTGTTGATGCTTGCAGGAAGTGATCCCATCTCTGCTCTGAAACCTGCTCCTGGTCTCACAGCTGACACTGAGATCATTGTTAAAGTGCATCAACATGAATACTCACACAAACACATGCCGACACACACACACACACACACACACACACACACACACACACACACACACACACACACACACACACACACACACCCTGAGTCTCCTTTACACTGACGCTAACATCCAGTGACATCAGCCCTCCTCTGGCATTCACACACAGACTTAGACACGATATTTGTTTTTTGCAGTTATGAATTGATGTTGAACTTGTCATTCTGAAGTCCCTCTTATTCCTTTTGAAGTTTATGCTTTTGGATTTGGATTTTATAATTAAAAAGACATTCATGTGTTTGTTTTCCTCAGACTCCCGCAGAAGGCGCCACCACTGTGCTGTTTGCCGCCCTTTCACCGGCCCTGGAGGGGGGGGAATGTGGAGGAGGCTACTGGGTCAATGGACACAGGGAGATGACAACACCCCCGTCCTTTGACCCCCAGCTGCAGCTAAGCCTATGGGAAACCAGCGTCCAGTTGCTGGGCCTGCAGTAGCAGTGGACAAAAGGACTAACTGGACGAAACCTGAAAGAAAACATCAGATTGGCTTTAAGACACTCGGGCAAACTTGCCACCTTCTCCCTATTTCTCAGTGTTTCCATCCGCACCTCACATCAAGGTGTTCGTAGCGATTTATGTTGACAATCTGACAATCCACCGCTGGACTGTGATTGTTTATTAGGGGAGGAAAATATGTCTTTTTTGATTTAGACGAGCCAAAGAAGGGCTACAGGGAATGAAAGACGTTTTGAGGAGAATAAGAATAGGATTATATCATTATAGGATTCACAGATACTGGGCAGCTGCTCAGATTGGCCTTTAGTGAAGTTTATTTCCTGATCGTAAATAGAAAAAACCTGATGTCAGGCCGGAGAAATAATTCAATAGTATCATGTTCAAAAACATACAATGACAGCTGCCTCACTCTGCCTTAATGTCTGGCTTTCAGTAAAGATCTTCATTGTCCCTCAGTGAACTAAATACTGTTTCACAGGCTTCTAAAAACCGAACAAATAAACATCTTAGCAAACATTAAGATGCATTTCGGGCATACAAATTATTCAATTGAAAAGCTGAATTTTCCCATTTGTGTACTGGCTCCACACATTCATGCACCACGACAATGAACTGAAATCTGAACCCGCCTTGTGCTGGCAGAGGAACGTGATGTCATTAGTTTGCATTCACACATCGCAATGAACATCTCACCATCATTTGGTTTGACTGGGAGCCCTTTGTGTTTGGTTCATTCGCTGCTTTTACAAGTTAATGCTGAATCATCATGCTAACTGCTGGTAAGTGTATTGTAAGCTGTGTTTTTGGTGAAATCTGCTTTCCTCATGAAGATGCTGGGAAAACATGATCATGATAACCCATCGAAAGACATTCCCACTTACTGATCAGGGGATTTAGGAAGACAAAAGAAAGAGATTGGATGTAAAAGTAGGACTACATTTGGAATAATTTCCTGGTGTTGACATTGAATTGATGCAAGGATTTCCAGCATGGTTTGTTTTTTCCCGCACAGAAACCAAACCGTAATGATGGGGACCAAACCGCACTTCACTCTGTCCCCATTTTCCTTTTGTGCTCTGTGTTAATCGCTTTTACTGTGTGTGTGTGTGTGTGTGTGTGTGTGTGTGTGTGTGTGTGTGTGTGTGTGTGTGTGTGTGTGTGTGTGTGTGTGTGTGTGTGTGTGTGTGTGTGTGTGTGTGTGTGTGTGTGTGTGTGTGTGTGTGTGTGTGTGTGTGTGTGTGTGTGTGTGTGTGTGTTCACATGAGTTAGGACTTAACTCCTGCTCTAGACTCAGTTCATGTTGATGGATAGCACAACAATGGCCATTCCTGGAGGAACTGCGACGGGAAGTAGAGAGGGAGGGAAAGCACTTTTTTTTCCTCCAGTATTCAAGCTATGATTGGTTCCTCATTGCTGCCACTTCCTCATTTGGCGATGCTCCCAGTGCATTGTGGGTTTGAGATTTCCCAGCGGTGAGAGGCAAACTCCATCTGCTGAGCTGGCTTATTTAAACAAGCACATTGCAAACAATCACGTCTGTTACTCATGCAGGAAAATACTCACACACACACACGCGTACACACTGCGCCATAATGCCATCTCCACTGTGATAAACCATTTTAGCTGTGAAGATGAAAAGTTTGATCTGAAATGAACAAGTTTTGGCTACAAATCCTGCCCCAACATGCCATCCCATTGCTGTGTGTGTATATTGTTGCTTTGAATACTGCCACTGAGCATCCAGCAATTGTTAATATCTGCCGTATGTGAAGCAATAGTATCACTGTGGAAGCTGATTCAGCCAGTAGCACAGAGACAGGCATTCACACAAGTAAAACAAACCCAAAAGTGTGAACGTGTAAATATCAAAAATACCAGCTTCAAGTTATCCATAATATCAGGAATTCAAAATGTCTTCTGTCTACATCTACTGTATAGAAAAAATGTTCATTGAAGCAGTGGTTGTTGATGCGTTTCCGAATGGTTAAATTGTCCCCAATGTAACCCACAGATAGAAACTAATGGTGTGTTCAAGCTCTCCTCGTCAAATCATTTAAAGTTTAGAGCTATGATGTTTAACATCAACATGACGAACAGCAGGTAAATAGTGGACCAGGTTATAAGTTAATATATCCATGATACTTCCATTTATCTGTGATGCCCTGTGATTAACACGTCCATGCTTCAAATAGTGGAGTGCATGCATGCCTTCCATTATTTACAACCTAGTGTTGGTGCGATCCATGTGATATGATGACCAGCGATAGATCACCTCACTTCAACGTCTGGTAAATATATCATGATCACATGACTTAATGAGTTGACAAAGATTGCCTGAATGCACCACTGAGCAGTCGACTAGCACATAAAGAATTATTGCAAACCCCAGAAATATGAAGTTACCATAGAACAAAACCGCATTGTCAATTACATTTGAAAGACAAGCACATATTGTCTCCCGTAATAGTTTTTTTTGGCGTATCACATTGCAAATGTACAAGTTAGGAGCAACATAAATAAATATGAAAATTCCGATATCACATGAAAGCAGCATAAGTCCAGGAAAATACATCACAGCTTAAGATTTTCTTCAATCACATAATAACTTAAATGTTTTCAATCAGGGCAGGTTTCAGTAATTTCACCTAAAAACCATCAGGTTGAAATTGTGAATAATGCATTTTCTAACTGCTCAACAACAAACAGTTAATCGCCTCAGTGCTTCCTTGTTTGACTGTGTGCTTCCCCGAGGTTTCTGACTAAACAACAGAATAACAAAACGACAAAACAAAGACTTGCTTAAACAAACCCTTCCCTTCACACAAATGAAAACACCAGCTACTACTCTGCAGTGCTCATTTCAAAAGTACAAGGCCACAGTCTACAGCCTGTCAAAGAGCTACTGTGTTTCTCACAGTCCAGCCGCTACAGCAGATGTTCTAAAACCTGACTGTCTTTCTTACCTGAGCACAAGGTTTTCCAAAGACGAGGCGAGGGGGATCGTGAGGGTCTGATTTGGGGTTCTTGTTGTATAAGAGGACTGCTAAATTATCGTTATATACTAACCATGATCCTGAAGCATTCTACACAGACAGTCAACTTTCTGAACTTGAATTGAGAATATAGAAAAAGAGCAAAAAGGCTCAAGTAACTGTCTATGATATTGTCTGTGTGTGATTTACTCTATTTCGAAGCTGCTGGACGTTGACCAGTGGAGCTATATGTAGACTGAAAATGTTCTAATAGCCATTTTACTGTCTGACCTGGGATTACATTTATATTAAATGTTTCAGTCCCAAGTTCTGCAAATGCTAAATGTGTATATGTATAGAAAGAAAGACATAATATAAAGATGTATACAGGGGGAAACCAGATGGACTGAGTCCTTATACTGGTACTAGTCCTAGTTATTAAAAAAGACCATGCTGACATTTATCTATCCGCTCACCTTTATCGCCATATCCCCTTATAACATGTTCTCCTTTGGTGCTATAGTGCAACCTTTCCACCAGAGTCCCTACGGGCTGCATCCAGCGTAAACACTCAGTCCATCTAACCCCCTGAGGATGTATGAAATGTGCAAGATGTTAGATTTTTTATTATTATTTTGTTGTTGTTGAAATACACATCTTATTGCTTTTGCTGTGCCTAAAAAGAAAATCTCCCTCATAAATGTGTAACCGTGAATTTTTCATGTAGAAATTAGCTTGTAGGATCTGTGATTATGGTCTTGTCCTGTGTATTGCCGTATTCTCTTTTGGAGTGTGTGTGTGTGTGTGTGTGTGTGTGTGTGTGTGTGTGTGTGTGTGTGTGTGTGTGTGTGTGTGTGTGTGTGTGTGTGTGTGTGTGTGTGTGTGTGTGTGGTGTGTGTGTGTGTGTGTGTGTGTGTGTGTGTGTGGTGTGTGTGTGTGTGTGTGTGTGTGTGTGTGTGTGTGTGTGTGTGTGTGTGTGTGTGTGTGTGTGTGTGTGTGTGTGTGTGGATAAGGGAGTTCATGTTTTTTGTCAATGGTTGTGACATTCCAGCAGCAGCCACCACCTTTTCTATTATCCAAAGCCTCTCAATAAACATATCATCGTGCCACTCTTGCTCTCTGTCCTTTACTGTGTGAGAGAGAAACTGTCAGACTGATGACACGCAGCGTGAGACAGCCAGCCTCCAGCGCAGTCTGATCTTTACAGATATTCTCAGATCAGCCCTGGAAACTTTCTCACACATTTACTTACCGGGTCACAATGCAGTGTGTCCTATATTAAATATAATATATTGTGCAGTCAAGTTTTCAACACCAGTACTGGCAAAATCAATTTGTGTTCAGCTGTCAATTTGTTATTTTACCATCTGTTGTCAATAACAGTGAACTTTAAAGACTTAAATGTCCTTTTTGTAGATGATTCCAGCTGTGCTGCTACATCAGTTAATCTTCATAAGCCAACAAATACATTCAATTTAATGTGCATGACAAAAGTAATTTAATGTGAAATGTATCTTAAAGTGGCACTATTATGCTTTTTTGGGATTACTTTCCTGTAGTGTGTAATATAGGTTCTTGTGCATGTAAATGGTCTGCAAAGGCTAAAATCCCCCAAAATCCCCTCCAACGCCCCGATTGGACTCCTTTGTTTACTTCTATGACATAGTGACATGATTGTGAATCCCTTGCGCTTCTATTGGCAGGCGCTCCAACACATTGTTTGTGATAGGCTAAGGGGCGGCACATCTCTAAGCAATTGACCAATAACAACAGAGCCGACAAGCTAACCAATCAGAGCAGACTGTGCTCTCGTTTCAGACAGACGGTGAAATAAGGTGCTGAATTACAGGCAGTATGAGAAAAATAAAGCATGTAAACATGTCACGGTAGAAAATGAGCATAATAGGGCCCCTTTAATATTTTTGAAGCAGTTATTTAATTTTTCATTTCCTTATCACAGGCACTTATCTTTTTTAATCAAAGCATGATTTAACGTTTTATTTTCCATTGCAATTGTGCAATGTTTTGAAGGAACTGAAGAAGGTGTTCTTGTTTTCATGCATGGTGCTTATAAGAGAGAAGAGATGGGGAGGGTAGTGTTTAACATGCCTGCTCAGACTTCAACTGAGGATCATATTTCGGAAAGGAAAATGAAAAGCCAAACAAAGAATCCCTCTCCTTTGCTCCCCACTAAATATATTCATAAACCTTGGACCCAGACAGTGCACAAAATGAATCAGACATCTCCTTTTCCTGCATACCTGAAAATAGAGTTGATATTACAGGAGGCAGAGAAGAGTTGCTGTCATGTACTCTAAAAGAAAAGTGCCATTGACGTACTTCAGTAGGCAGCAGAGCCAACATGACACACAAATCAGCAAGAATCACTGCAGACAATCAAATAGCTGGAAAAATGTAAGGTGCATTTGAATGGCAGGCGAGCAGAAGAACATCATGTAAATGTCAACTTGTTAGAATGAGTTTCTGACACAATGACGAGAATGAGGAGAATGAGTCGACGTCTCTTCTGCTCTTTGTAACACAATGACATGCAATATAATGTGTCTGCTCTAGACTGACTGCCGTGTGAGCTCACCTGGGCAGAAAACAGCGAGAGGGGAAAGAAAGAGCAACTGAGATGACAAAATACTCACCCTCATTCATGTCCTGGTAATTGATGCTCATATAGGGACAGATTATCCTTTATAACAATGAGTCAAATCTGCAAGGCATTATAAACACGCTTAATAGCTCCTTATTCATCCAGTAAGTGGCAGCTCTTCCTCCATAAATGCCTTATGGGAGATTTAAGGAAGTTATTGCATGCTCACTCATAAACCAAGAAGGGATAATAAGCATTCATTTATCTAATGACTGAGAAGACATTATTTAGAGCCTTATTCAAGAGAGGCCTGGTTGGACACTGTCATCATTTTTCAACCTGCAATATGTACGTCTCATAGTACATTCACGACCGTGCACGTCTCAATAGCCTGGCTTCTTCTCATCTCAATTGTCATATTGTGTCACTTACTGAATTGGGGCAAAAGGACACCAAATTCCTCTCATTACATCTGTTTCAATGTCTCCAAAATGATTGCCTGTGTAAATGACCAAAATGTCAAATGTCATGTTTCAATTAAAATGGCGGAGTACTGT